GATGTTAGCCTTGTGCGGAGCGCTTGGTAGGCGGAGTGAAGGTCTATGGCTCTGTCGAGTGTGTCAATCGAGGACCAACTTTCTAGCAGCCATCTGGCCATCTTATCATTGGCTCGACCTACTACCCTTGCTTCCTCAAAGGCGACGTGTGATTCTTCTGCTGTACGTGGTCATAGACCATTGACAGCTTATCTTTGTGGTTGATTGCCTGTTGATGCTCATGCAATATTGTGCCAAGGCGTCTGTCCGTTTCACCAACATATCCTGCATTGCAGTCTTGGCATGGTACGTTGTAGACCACAGCTGATTGTTCTGCCAACTGTAGCGGGTTTTTGGGCCTTATGATCTGCTGTCTGATGGTTGACTCCGGCCTATGAGCCACACCGATTCCGAATGGTTTCAGGATTCTTGCGGCCGCCTCTGATACATTCTTCACATGAGGGATTGCGAGCCAGGACTTGGGGTCCTCTCCTCGATGTACAAGGGACGAAACTGGCAGACGGTTTACCGTAAGGCAACCAATAACGTGTGCATCCTCCACTCCAGAAGCAACTAACCCGTTGGTCAGAAACGCGGTTGTGTCAGAACCCTATTCCAACGCTTTCAAACACACCACAGTGACGAACGTAGGAAAAAAGGAGGAGATTAAGTACTTGCTTGTCCTATTTCAGGCCAACGGTTATCCTATGTCCTTTATACGCAAAAGTCTTGAGAATCCCTACCTTGAGCGGTCGAAAGGAGATCATGAAAGCAATATTATATCTGGGCCTCGAATGTTTTCGCATATTAATTTTAAATTGTGTATTGCCTACACGTATCCCCTTACTATTTTTGCATCATCATAATCTATCTTACGAACTCCTATGCAGGTGAACTTAAACAAACTCATCATTCAGGCGGAGGAGACGCTCCTGCTGAAGCTCATTCAATTTGGCCGAAATTTCTACAGTGGCTTACAACCCCTGCAGACCAACTTCGAGGACGCCAGGTACCTGGATCTCATCGCAACAAGGCCCTCCCTATTCACGGGCGAAGTCGAGGGCACATATGCGAGGTATTACATGTGGCAGTCGCAGCGGTTTTGTTTCTCTCCTCTATCTTGTTTGGGCCTGTAGGGTTGTTTTAGTTGCTCAACGCATACACAAACACACACGACAGTTTGACCGTCGCTCTCGACGACGTCCAACACGAGTTCCAGCAACCTAAAACAACGCGTTCACTCCCGCTGCAGTATAGTGAAACTAAACTTGCGGAGAATCTACCCCACTCCCACAACGGAACCCGATGTGAAGCCAAAGGTCAGGAAGGCCGGAGATGAGGGAGGGCGCAGACGGCACAAAGACAATAGATAAAAGTGAACGGTGATGGCCAATTAACCATCATACCGCTGACTTCGTTGCAACGCAACTAATTATCGAGGCTATCTTAAACGTCCTATTGATTGTAGGCGTTGAGACATCCAATCGTTGTGTTATCCTTCACCTGCGTACTTGCCACAAAACGGGCCAATGAATGACTCTGTGTGCTCGGCACAAATGGACGGCGGTTTTGGCAAATCTTAATTCACCGTTTAAAGCAACTCAAGTATTAGTATGACATGCCGGGCCAGCACGCTTATTCTTTTAGTTGATAAAACCTTCTTTCGGAAAACCCGCTGTTTTCTTAGTCATAATTGATCCAAGAATCAGTTATATTCCGCCCCCCTCCATTCACTGATCTGAAGCTCAATGCACACGCTAC